GATGTCAGGAAAGGAGAAAGCAATAAGCAAAGAAAAAAAAATCATGATTAATAGCACAAAATAAGACTTCTAAAATAAATCCAAATGTGTCAGTAGTAAAATTAAATAGAAATAAACTAAAGCGTACCTTTTTTCATCAGACGTTCAGTGCCTTGACCAGCCTATCTGAAAGTCTTCATCCCCCATCCCCGTCTGTCCCATTGCCCAGTGCCTTAGTCCATTCGGGCTGCTGTAGCAGAACACCATAGACTGGGTTGTTATAAACAATAGAAACCTATTTGCCACAGTCTAGAGGCTGGGAAGTCCAAGATCAAGGCTCCTGCACATTCAGTGTTTAGTGAGGGCGCCCTTCCTGGTTCAGAGGCAGCAGTATTCTATGTCTTCTCATGGCAGAAGGCGTGAGGGAGCTCTCTGGGGTCTCTGTTTATAATGGCTCTAACCCCATTCATGAAGGCTCCACCCTCAGAACTAATCAGCTCCCAAAGGCCCATTTCCCAATACCATCACAATGGGGGCTAGGATTTCAATGTGAGAATTTGGGGGACACAGTCTGTAGCACCCAGTTTTATTTTTTTTCTTAGTACCTACCACTTGACACAGTCATGTTTGTCTGACTCTTTTTACTGTCTGTCTCCCCACCTGAAAGTAAGCTCCTTGAGAGTAGGTCTTCATTTCTTTCACGCCCCTGGCCCAACACCTAGGACAGTTTTAGGACATCGTAGGCATTCCATGATTATGGAATTGAATTTACAGAAAAGAAACCTGAATGACCAATAAAAACGATTTTTAAATGCTTAATTTCACTAGGAATAAAAAAGCTGCAGACTAAAACAAGATGCCATCATGCCCACGTTTATTGATAGTATTTGCTAGGTCTAATGGTGCTTCTCAAATTTGAAAGTGAAAACAGATTGCTGGGTGTACAACTTGATGCTTTATATGCATATGCATACATTGTGGAAGGATCACCACAATCAAGTTAAATAACTTATCCATTACCTCTACTTGGTTACCTTTGGGTGTGTGTGTGTGTGTACATGCTGAGATTTAAGATTTATCTTCTTAGAATATTTCCAAAAAATACAATGCAGTATTATTAACTGTCATTACCAAACTGTATATTAGATCTCCAAAGTATATTCATCCTCTGTAACTGAAACTTCACCCTTTGACCAACATCACTCAATCTTCCTCACCCCCCTAGTCCCTCTCTGCTTTATGAGTTTAACTTTTTTTTTAGATTTCACATGTAAGACAGATCATGCAGAAATTGTGTGTAACACTGTGTGTCAACTATACTCAAAAAAGTGTTTTTAATTTAAAAAATGTTTAAAACAGGGGCGCCTGGGTGGCTCAGATGGTTAAGCCTCTGCCTTCGGCTCAGGTCATGATCCCAGGGTCCTGGGATCGAGTCCCACATCCGGCTCCCTGCTTCTCCCTCTCCCTCTGCAATTCCCCCTGCTCATGCTCTCTCTCTCTCTGTATCTCTCTGTCTCAAATGAATAAATAAAAAAAAATCTTTTAAAAAAAATGTTTAAAACATAGAAAGAGAGACCATGCAATATTTGTCTTTCTGTGTCTGGCTTATTTCACTTAGCATAATGTCCTCCAGGTTCCGTTCACATTATCACAAATGACAAGATTGCCTTCTTTTTGATGAAATCTTATAGTTTACATTGACATGGATGGAACTGAAGGGTATTATGCTGAATGAAATAAGTGAATCAGAAAAGAACAATTATCATATGGTTTCACTCATGTGGAATTTAAGAAACAAAACAGAGGATCATAGGGGAAGGGAGGGAAAAATAAAATAAGACAAAATAAGAGAGGGAGAAAAACCATAAGAGACTCTTAATCATAGGAAACAAACTGAGGGTTGCTGGAGGGGAGGTGAATGGGGGATGGAGTAACAGGGAACAGGCATTAAGGAGGGCACATGTTGTAATGAGCACTGGGTGTTATATAAAACTGATGAATTACTGAACTTCACATCCAGAACTAATGATACACTCACTATATGTTAACTAATTGAATTTAAATAAAATAAGTTTTTAAAAAAAGATCGCCTTGGGATAGCTGGGTGGCTCAGCTGTTAAGCGTCTGCCTTACGGCTCAGGTCATGGTCTCAGAGTCATGGGATCGAGCCCCATTTCGGGCTCCCTGCTCGGCAGGAAGCCTGCTTCTCCCTCTCCCACTCCCCCAGCTTGTGTTCCCTCTCTCACTGTGTCATTCTCTGTCAAATAAATAAAATAAATAAAATTTTAAAAAAGATTGCCTTCTCTTTCTGCCCTTTTATTGTATATATTTTTTTCTTTATTCGGCTATCCATATCTACAAACATCTGTTTCCATATCATGGCTATTGTGAATAATGCTGTATTGAACATGGGAGTGCAGATAATCTCTTTGAGACAGTGACTTCATTTCCTTTGGATATATACCCAGAACTTTTTTACAAAGTTGTAAAACAAAACAAAACAAATAATGCAATATATGT